GGCCAGAGCGTTTTTCGCATGCTTACTTGCCAGGTATGTATCTTCTTTGGTGCAGCATTTATTCCTTTGTGTTATTTTATTTATGGTAATTCTTAATAAAACTTATTTGCTTGTATATTGTCTTCCTATTTGTCACCTACCACCACCACTAGGCTATAAGCTCCATGGGCTGGGGTAGGATTCCCTTGCTCCTATATCCCTCACACCTAGAAGAGTGCCTGACACTTGATGGACAGATGAACAACCAATACTGTTGAAAGAGTAAACGAATGAGGCTGAATTCTAGCTCCTGCTCTGCCTCTTTCTATAGCCCTGAACAAGGTTCCCTGGCCTCCATTTCTCATTTTGTAAAGTGAGTTGGAGGTGTCAGGTTCAAAAACCTACAGGGGCCTCCCAGCTCTGGCTTGTTCTGGGTTGGAGGCCATGGCCCCTTCTGGCCACTCTGGGTTTTCCCTTACTCTGCATCTTCTAACCTCAGCACTGCTGGGCCATGGCCCCCCAGATACCCTGTCTCGACAGGAGAAGGAATGGTACTTCTTTTGAATCTGGGAGCCTGGACCCCATAGCCCATCTTGCAGTATCTAATCACCCCTGAGCCCCCAGGCCTGCCACCTTAGCCAGAGAAGCTGGCACCCTAGCAAGTTGTTATGGATCCAGAGAGCTCCATACTCCTGCCTGACTGTCCCCTAATCCCTCCCATGCCTTCCATACACAACCAGAGACCCCAGAACCTGGGACTTCCCTCTGCTCCCAGACCGTGAGCTCTGAGAGCCTCTCACCTCACCAGGTGAACCCCAGTGCTGAGCCAATGGGTTGGGGCTGATGGCTGCAAAGGAGGGAGGATGGTCCCAATGTCAGTAACAAGTCAAAGGGAAAGGACTGACCTGGACACTAAACTACTGGGTTCCAGCCCCTCCACTCCCACCTTGATATGTGAGTTGGGGAGGTCCCTTCTGTGCTGTGGCCTCAGTTTTCCCATTAGTGCACTGTGGAGGAAGGAGATACAGTGTTCCCAGGCCTGGTCAGTGCTGATTCCAGCAATGCAGTTTCTTCCAGTTTAGATGCTGCTTGGTTTCTCATTCCTCTGGTCGTTTTTGTATTAGTTGAGGTGAGCAGGGGTGGGGAACCATGTCAGGGGTTATAGGCAGAGGAGGGAGCAGATGAGGGAGCTCTCAGGGACAGAAGGCTGCACCCAGGACAGCCTGAAGCACAGGAGCTGGCTGCCAGTGCCCAGTTGGTCTCTGCAGAGAGACACGGAGAAGGTCATCTGTGAAGACCTCTGCATGTGGAGGAATCACTGGACTGGACATCTGTGGCAGCCAAGGAGTCATCTGAGAGGTTCATGGGGGAAACCCAAGGAGCTTTGAAGGCTCCAGTGCAGGATGTCTGTGTGGGGCTGGATTTAATGGTGCCGGCCCCACCACAACTATAGCTGGAACTGTTGAAGCCACAGGATGCAAGACCCTGCTCAAGCAGAGAACAGAGACCACACCCAAAGTTAAGGTCAGGGTTCAGCCTGGGCTGGAGAGCAGAGAGCAGGGAAGCAGCCCTTCAAGGGATGTTCAGAAGCCCAGGGCTGGACCCAGACACAGAGCATCTGGCTGGGCTGTGCTGGACCAGACTCTTGGGAGAAAGAGAAAGAAATGGCTTCACCTCTCACTGGCTTGAGCCAAGGAAACACACAAAGGCCTTGGTCCAGGGAGGAATGGAAAGGAGGTTGGAAGTTAGCAAATCAGAACTAAAGAGGGTCCCAGCAGCCTGTAGGGCAGATCCTGTGGTTTAGGAATACAGATGCTCTGAAAGAGGGCAGATGGGAGGGAGGCGGCAGAGATATGAGGTCCTGTAGGGTGTGTGGAGAGGCAGAAGATGGGGAAAACAGGGGAGAGTCTGGGATATGAAAGGGTGGGGAGAAGAAAAGGAGGTAGCCGGGCACAGTGGCTCACACCTGTAATCCCAGCACTTTGGGAGGCCAAGGTAGGCAGATCACTTGAGGTCAGGAGTTTGAGACCAGCCTGGCCAACATGGTAAAATTTCACCTCTACTAAAAATACGATAAAAAAAAAATTATCCACACATGGTGGCACATGCCTGTGATCTCAGCACTTTGGGAGGCCAAGGTGGGCAGATCACTTGAGGTCAGGAGTTTGAGACCAGCTTGGCCAACATAGTGAAACTCCATCTCTACTAAAAAAAAAAAAAAAAAAAAAAAAAAATTAGCTGGGCGTGGTGGCTCATGCCTGTAATCCCAGCTACTCAGGAGGCTGGGGCAGGAGAATTGCTTGAACCCAGGAGGTGGAGGTTGCAGTGAGCCAAGTTTGCGCCACTGCACTCCCGTCTGGGCAACAGAGTGAGACTCCATCTCAAACAAAAAAAAGAAGAAGGAGAGATGATGAGACAGAGAAGGCAGGGCCACCAACACCGGAGGAGTGAGAAGTGGGGCCAATTTCACGACAGAACAAGTTATGAGATGAAGAGGAAAGGATGGGGACAGCTGAAGGGTCTGGGGAGATGCTGTCAGCTGTGGGAAGCACTGCAGCTGCTCTCAGGGATGGCAGGTGAGCGGGGCCCCAAGGGATAGAGCTGACCCTCGCACCACCCACAGACGCCTCTGTCGTCAGCTGGGAATGCGGAGCCCTGATGAACCGCAAGCATGTTTTAAATGAAAGTCTTCCAAGCATCAAAATATTGAAGCCGTTGTTGTCTCACTGCGGGTTAGTTGCTATGGAGAAATTCAGCCCCGGCAGCCACTCTAATCAGACGCCCATGGGAGACAGGCCCCGAATGGGCTGGTTTAGGGCTGGCATCAGGCAAGAGGTTCCCCACCCAGAGCCAAGAAGGGGGAAGCTTGAGTCAGGACAGCTCCCCGCCTCCCAGTCACACTTAACTGAAAACCACCCAACCTGAGTCTTCTCCATTGTTGGAGGTGCAGAGCTGATAAGGAAACTGAGGCCCAGAGAAGGTGAAAGACCTGCCAAGGTCACTGAACAAGTCGACGGCATGGCTGAGACCACATCCCAAGTGCCCTGCTCCAGGTATAGATGTCTTCCCAGCACGTAGTCTGTTTCTATTCCAAGACCTTGTTTGCCAGGCATTTCAAAGCTGGCCTGGTCTCAGGAGTCAGTCAATTCCCTAAATACGATGACTTCCCAGAGTGGAGCCACGCAGGCCAAGCAAGAGCCGGGGACTGTTCTGGACTGTGGAGCAGGACACTGGTGCTTCTCCCCGATTCCCATGCAGCTCAGCTGAGCATGGCTGGGGAGGGTTTTCTCTGCTCAATTCCAGACCAACTCCACCTTCCCATGCCCATACACCTGAGTGGGTGCTCACGCCTCTGAGCTTTCGCTCAGGCAGATCTCTGCCTGAAATGCCCACTCCACTGGATGCTCCTTTCTCCATCCCAGCATCAACAGTGCCCCTTGCTATGTCTCGTTGGGTTGGCCGTGATGAGATGCAGAGGACATTTCCCCACCCGCTGTCTCTCAGTTGAACACCGGCAACAGTCTTGCCAACACTCTGGATCTGCATCTATGAGGCTGATTTTTTTTTTTTTTTTTTGAGAACGGAGTCTTACTGTCACCCAGGTTAGAGTGCTGTGGTGCAATCTCAGCTCACTGCAGCTTCCGCCTCCCAGGTTCAAGCAATTCTCCTGACTCAGCCTCCCGAGTAGCTGGGATTACAGGTGCCTGCCACCATGCCCAGCTAATTTTTGTATTTTTAGTAGAGACAGGGTTCACCATGTTAGCTGACCTTCTTTTTTTTTTTTTTTTTTTCTTCCTGAGACAGAGTCTTGCTCTGTCACCCAGGATGGAGTGCAGTAGCACGTTCTCGACTCACTGCAACCTCCACTTCCTGGGTTCAAGTGATTCGCCTGCCTCAGCTTCTCCAGTAGAATGGATTACAGGTGCCTGCCACCACACCACACCAAAATACAAAGTAATCTTTTATATTTTTAGTAGAGATAGGGTTTCAACATGTTGGCCAAGCTGATTTCGAACTCCTGACTTCAAGTGATCCGCCCACCTCGGCCTCCCAAAGTGTTAGGATAACAGGCGTGAGCCACCACACCCGGCCGAGACTGATCTTAAGTCACACAGGATCACAGGTGCATGGAGCATCTCCTCTCACCCCCTCCCCACTGCCCACCACCTCCTTTCCACTCGGCCTCCCTCCAGTTCCTGGAATGCTCCAGTCTCTCCTACTTCAGGACCATCACACCTGTTGTGTCCTTTGTCCAAAAGGCTCTTTCTTCCTCTTTTCACCTTGCTGATGTCTACTTAGCTCTGTAGAGAGGGTGTCAACTACCTCCTCATCACATTAAATTCAGTGCCCCTCTGACTTCTCTCTTATAACAGCCAGCACTTTTATTTATTTATTTATTTTGAGATGGAGTCTCGCACCCAGGCTGGAGTGCCGTGGCGAGATTACTGTAACCTCTGCCTTCTGGTTTCAAGCAATTCTCCTGCCTCAGCTGGGACTACAGGCACACACCACCATGTCCAGCTAATTTTTGTATTTCTAGTAGATAAGGGTTTCACCATGTTGGCCAGGATGGTCTTGATCTCTTGACCTTGTGATCCGCCTGCCTTGGCCTCCCAAAGTGCTGGGATTACAGGCGTGAGTCACCGCACCCAGCCAATAGCCAGCACTTTTACTTGGCGGCGTCACTCCCCATTCATAATTGTATTTGTCTGTGCCGTTCTTGGATGTCTGCCTCTCCCGCGAGGCTGTAAGTTTGAGAAGAGCAGCAACCATGCCGACTGGTTGCTGCAGGATCCCTGGAACCTAGCAGAGCTCCCAGCACATGTTAGGGACTCAGCAAATATATCAAATAGCTAACAGGTGAATGCTGAACCCCCGCTCTCGGCATGCTCACAGGATGGGTAAGTATGGAAATGTGGAGCTGCAGACACCACATCTGAGTAGGGGGGGATGTGAACCCCAAATCAGGATCCTTCTAGGAAGGTCACCCAGCCAGTGATGTGAGGTTGGGGTTCACTCACCTCTGGCATCAAAGAATTCATCATCTGAGCTCTCCACAGAGTCACTGAGGACATTTCGAAGGTGCCAGGGGGCACCGCCGCCCGGGGGAGGGCCACCTGTTAAAGGGAACATATCCGTTAACCAAGCCCGAGATGGTGTCCCAGTATGAGGGAGGTGACCCAAGACCCCCCTGGACTAAAAACCAGTTAGCATCCTGCACATCTGCGCCTTCTCCCTCCAAGGCCTCAGACTCCATAGAGCCCTCCCTCTCCTGTGCCTTCACTGAAGCTCAAAAACCTCTCTGCGTAAACTCAGCAGAGCAGGAATGAGTATGCCCATTTTGCACATCCTAAAACTGAGGCCAGTGGTAATTATGAGCCTTTGCCAAGATGACTTTGCCAAGCCACGTCTCAGTCAGCAGAGGGGGAGATCTGCTGTATGAACAAATGAGCTCAGACGTTTAAACAGCAGTGGTTTATTTCTCACTCACACACAGGTTGGAGGGGAGCTCTGCTTATTGTGGTCATTCAAAGGCGCCACCACCTTATGATGTCACCAGCCCAAAAGGAGACATCAAGGTCTGGCCAAGCAGGGGAGAAGGGCTCAGAAAACCTCACCCCGTCTCAAATGCTTCTGCCCAGAAATGACACACTTCTGCTCACACTTCGCCGGCCCCGGCTACCAGGCATACACGCCCTGTCCCCACAGAGACCTGCATTCTGGTATCAGCAACGCCCCGTCTCAGGTTTTCCATCTGTACAGTGAGAATCCTGGCAGAGACTGTTCTTGGAAACTCTTCTACTCTGACTGATATTTGAGGAGCCCGCCTGGCATGCAGTAGCTGTCAACAGACAAGCAGGAGGTGGACATCCTCCCCAGATACTGCCAGGTGAGCCTGATGGTGCAGTCCTTGGACATACCTGCTGCAGTCCCAGTTCGCCACACCCCGTACCCTGCAGGATGCTGGCACTGTTCCCTGCCCTTAGTCCAGATCCCAGAGCATAAACTGCCACTGAAGGGAGAGGGCCAGCCCACACCATCCAGGGACACAGCCCTCCTGCCTGTCATTCCTCCAGTCCCACCACAAATTCCCAAACACACACCCAGCTTGTGCTCCATGGCTTGAAGCCCAGTGTAAAACACATTCCGAGACATCAAAAGGACAGAGGTTACAGTGAGCACCAACTCAGTAGTCACCTCGAGGTACAAAGCTGATTCCCTAAGGTTCTGATCCCCTGCCTTGAATACTGTGGGCCGATGTCCCACCCTTGGTCCCTCAGGCAAGGGGGTCTGAGAGTCCAGATGCACCGTAACTGTGTTCCTAACACGGGTACGGGACTATTTTCCAAATGTATTCTAGCTATTGCAATAAGACCAGAAAAAAGAAATGAAAGGGATACAGGTTGGAAAGGAAGATATAAAATAGTCTTTATTCCCAGATGGCATGATTGTCTACACAGAAAACCAAAACTCTACAAAATCTATGTTAAAAAAAACTACCGGAACTAACAGCTGAGTATAGCAAGATTGTAGGATACAAGATCGGTATGCAAAAGTCAATTGTGAGCTGGGCGCAGTGGCTCATGCCTGTAATCCCAGCACTTTGGGAGGCTGAGGCAGGCAGGATCACCTGAGGTCGGGGGTTTGAGACCAGCCTGGCGAACATGGAGAAACCCTGTCTCTACTAAAAATACAAAATTAGCCGGGTGTGGTGGTGCATGCCTGTTATCCCAGCTACTCAGGAGACTGAGGCAGGAGAATTGCTTGAACCCAGGAAGCAGAGGCTGTGGTAAGCTGAGATCGCGCCACTGCACTCCATCCTGGGCAACAAAAGTGAAACCCCATCTCAAAAAAAAAAAAAAAAAAAAGTCAATTGCATTCCTAGATACAATAAATGAACTGAAATTTGAAAATGATAATACTGTCAACAATAGCACACACAGAATACTTAGGCATAAATCATATGTAAAAATTTATGTGATTCAAAAACTACAATCACATAAAATTATTCCTGAATTATATTAACTGCATGTTTTCTCAATCAACAGATACCAAAGGTATGAAATCTATCATGCCTACTATATTTGCACATACTATGTGAATGTGCTATATTAATATACAAATATTCCCTGTTATTCAAATCTATTCCATGTCTAAGAAGTAAGAATCTGGATAGTCAGGAAAGGCCAATTATCCCCATCTGTTCAGCTCCGGAGTTTTAGATGGTAAGCAGCAAGAGTTTAAGTAGCAGCAGAGGCCAGACGCGGTGGCTCATGCCTGTAATCCCAGCACTTTGGGAGGCCGACGTGGGCGATTCACAAGTTCAGGAGTTCAAGACCAGCCTAGCCAACATGGTGAAGCCCCATCTCTACTAAAAATACAAAAAATTAGCTTGGCATGGTGGCAGACGCCTATAATCCTAGCTACTCTGGAGGCTGAGGCAGGAGAATCACTTGAACCTGGGAGGCGAAGGTTGCAGTGAGCCAAGATCACCACTGCTCTCCAGCCCAGGCAACAAAGTAAGACTCTGTCTCAAAAAAAAAAAAAAAAAATGAGGCCAGGCGCGGTGGCTCAAGCCTGTAATCCCAGCACTTTGGGAGGCCGAGGCGGGTGGATCACGAGGTCAAGAGATCGAGACCATCCTGGTCAACATGGTGAAACCCCGTCTCTACTAAAAATACAAAAAATTAGCTGGGCATGGTGGCACGTGCCTGTAATCCCAGCTACTCAGGAGGCTGAGGCAGGAGAATTGCCTGAACCCAGGAGGCGGAGGTTGCAGTGAGCCGAGATTGCGCCATTGCACTCCAGCCTGGATAACAAGAGCGAAACTCCGTCCCCAAAAAAAAAAAAAAAAGAAAAGAAAAGAAAAGAAAAAAGTAGCAACGGAGTCAGCTGAGGATTTATCTGGATCCATTTGGCTCCTGAGTTTGAATAGCAAGAGCCCAGTAAGAGGCTCCTCTATATGGTGACCTTATGTATGCACAGTTTAGATCCATCTAAGAACAAAGGCAGAGGCATTCTCTCTGATGACATGTACAGGGGTCTTAGGGGGAGGTCTGGGGCAGAGGGAAAGGCTACAGGGAGGCCCCTCAGCTCCATTTGAGGGAGCAAGTTCTCTCAGCTACAGATGAGCAGAAAAGGAAGGGGCTGGTAGGCATCAAAGGGGGCCTCTCATTCCACAGACACTATACTGGGTACTGGGAACACTATGGGGAATAAAAGGACAGGAAAGCTTACATTCTGCAGGCAGGGAAGGAAAAGCCGGCCTGGGTCAAATAAACAACAAGATAATTTCAGCCTAAAACCTCTCCCTTCCTACACCATGTCCTCCTTCCTCCAGTGTCTCTCATATGGTAATTACAGCCTAAAGAATAGACAGGCTTGAACCTGCAGATCTGCACATCCACGAGGAGAAAATGGTGGGGAAACTCAGCCTCAGACATCAAAAGAACTTTGTCACCCACTGTAGTTACCAATGCTGAACTAACACGATGTCTCCCTTTTATTATTGTGACTCTCTTTTGTGGTCAAAATATATATGTAAATTTCTTTTCAAATGCATATTTTATCTTGTTTACTATCATTCTACTTGGTTTCAAAACACACATCTGCCTTGGTTTTTTTGTTTTGTTTTATTTTGTTTTTGAGACAGAGTTTCGCTCTTGTTGCCCAGGCTGGAGTGCAATGGCACAATCTCAGTTCACTGCAATCTCCTTCTCCCGTGTTCAAGCAATTCTCCTGCCTCAGCCTCCAGAGTGGGATTACAGGCACCCCGCCCCCACCACACCTAGCTAATTTTTGTATTTTTAGTAGAGATGGGGTTTCGCCTTATTAGCCAGGCTGGACTCGAACTCCTGACTTCAGGTGATCTGCCCACCTCAGCCTCCCAAAGTGTTGGGATTACAGGCATGAGCCACCGTTCCTGGCCCCTGCCTTGGTTTTTAAATGTATACTGGAAACAAGGTCTTCCCTCCCTTCTAGCAGGGGTTTCCCAGCCCAACTTTTGGAAAGGGTGTGTATGGAACCTCAGTTATACACACTTGTAGAAAAAGAACCGGTAAAAACGGCTGTTAAGATGGGATATGGGAACTGCTCCCTGCATCTCTTCCTCCACTATGCAGATTGTTTAGCAAACAACAAAGGTCATATTTCCAAGAAGGGAAAAAGCAGTGGGCAGTGTCTCAGGAGGGGCTCAAGGAAAAGACCTTTGTGGAAAGGTGTCAGGTGAACAGAGGCCTGAATAATAAGAAAAGCCAGACATGGTAAGCATGTGTGGGTATGTGTGTGCCTGCATGTGTGCTCATGCTCATCCATGTGTGGGATGGACAGGGCAGAATCCATGGATAACGGCCTTCCCGGACAAAGGAACTGCAAGGGTAAATTCCCACATGAGCTTGGTATGTCCAAGGGGCAGAAGGAAATCCATGTGGCTGAAGCCAATGATTGAAGGGTGACAGGAATAGAGGAGGTGAGAGAGGAAATGGACCCAGACCAGGTAAGATATGACCTGTCATGGATGGAAGCTTGGAACAAGTGAGTTTTAAGGCTCCTCCCACAGCCCAGACTCTATCACCTGCAAACTTCAAGAGGAGGGGAATACAGATGCCAAAGAGGGCCAGAAAGTCTCCTGGAGGAGGGGACCACCAGTCAGATGTGCTAGAGGCCACATAGGTTCCTGAGAGTCAGAGCAGGTGGGCATGAGGACCCTGGAACAGTGAGGGAAAGGCTCAGAAGCAGCGTCCTTGAGGCGGGTTCTTGCCCTGCACTTGTCTGCATTTTCTGGGTCCAGCACAAGGTCCCACACAGAAGAGGGCCAGCAAGTGTTTGAGAAACAAGTAAGTGAATGAAAATAATTTGCTTAGCGAGTACAGCATGCCAGACAGTCTGCTAGCTGCTTTTCAGACATTATCTAAAGTCATCCTAACCAAGCCCAGCAAAGCAGATATAATGAATCTCCACCTTACAGTTAAGGAAACGGAGGCTCAGGGATGTTTCAGGAAGGCATTTGCTCTGTAGAAGAGCTCAGGGCAGGGGACCTCAGTCTCCTCTCCTCTCCATTGCCTGCTCTCTTGGCAATAGCAACCCTTCCACCTGCTGCTGGCCAGCTGGG